GAATTGGGGACGAAACCGACATTTGCAGCTACATTTGAACGCACATTTCAAAAGAAAGATAAGACATGGACTGGCGATTGAGCAAAAGCTGTTAAGGTATGTAAGGTTATACTTTGGCTTATATGTAAACTATAATGAAAACCGTGAATGCTTTCAATATTTTCGGTAGATATATATATAGTGATTTTATTTTCATCTATATTGTTAATGTAGGAAAAATATGATGAACTTTTAATGAGCAGTGCTAGTGGTAGTGATGATTGTCCTGAGTCCCGGCCACCAGTTGATAATATGGCATTATGGATGGAGGCAACGGGTGGGGCGAAAAAAGGGAAAATATTTGGGATGGGATCATTATCAAGGATGTTCATGCCGAATGGTCCTGGAAGTTCATCATCCACTGGGACTGGTCGAAGGAAGTCACGACCAGACGAGAATTTGACCCAAGAAGTGCATCGTCTCAATAATTTACTTGTTAAGAAGGATGAACAAATACAAAACTTGCAAGAACAAATGAGAGTCGTTATGCAACACCTTAACATCAATCGCTATGGCGATCCTCCTGTACCTCCAGCCAATCCAGTAGGTGATGGGTACAATGATGACCAACACATTGATGCCGAGAATGCTGCTGATGATGATGATGATGAAGATTTTCTCCGGTCTTTCTAGTTAAATTTCTCAAAATCGGGGGTAAGCTTGCTTCATAATCTTGATTTTTCATAATTTCACTCATATTCATATGTAAGAATATTTATGTTCATCCCTAAACGTATTTTTGTTAACCCTTTTGTTATTTTACACCTAGTTCCACATCCATGCATAAACGCTTTTTTTATATTCTGGACTGATTTATGTATCGACATTTCCTCAGGTCTCGACAAAAGTGACTACTTTTGGTGTCCTGCCATCGTACCAAAGCCGCGTCTTCTTCTGTATGATTTTTTTGCGTCTTCTATGGTTGTCCCGTCTCTTAGTTCATGTTTTGACGGTATTGTAATATTGGATATCAAATAGTATCATGTAAGACTCTACAACTTTCCTTCTGTTATTTGTTTCAATTATATGTCATTGTGGCTGGTTTGTCAGAATTTATGGTTTGTTCGTTTTTCTGTTTCAATTATATATCATTGTCTCCTTTGATTGATATGGATAAGAATTTATGGCCGAAATGATATAAAAATAGCGACGAATATTTTAAGCCGAATTTTGCTATCATTAAAGTTTGTCACTAATTTGCGACGAAATTCGCGACGAATTTGCTAACGAAATTCGCGATAAATTTTATGACGAAAATTGCGACGAATTTTGCGACGAAATTGCGACGGATTTTTGCGACGGACAAACGTGCGTCGCAAATTTTGCGACGAAATTTGCGACGGATTTTTTGCGACGAATTTTGCGACGGACAAACGTTCGTCGCAAATTTTGCGACGAATTTTGCGACTGACAAACGTTCGTCGCAAATTTTGCGACGAAATTTGCGACGAAATTGCGACGGATTTTTGCGATGAATTTTGCGACGGACAAACGTTCGTCGCAAATTTTGCGACGAAATTTGCGACGAATTTTGCGACGGACAAAGTTCGTCGCAAATTTGCGACGGAATATTTGCGACGGACTATGTGCCGTCGCAAATTTGCGACGAATTCTTTTTCGTCGCAAATTTGCGACGAACTTGTGAATTTTCCGTCGCAAAATTTTGCGACGACCAATTAGCGACGGAATTTTTTCCGTCGCAAATTCGATTTGCGACGGATTTTTCCACGTTTTCCGTCTCAAATTCCGTCGCTAATCCGGTGTTTTTTTGTAGTGAACTTCAACTTAGGTGTCAAAAACCTATCATAAGTTAATTCGGTAGATCTATTGTCCATGGAGCCTAATTGATCACCTCAACATAGTTGTTGGGATAATCACCACCAGTAACTCATAAGAGCGACCGTGGTACATTTTTTAGTGCTTCGTAATATATGCATATTACATGATATAGATTGTAATTGTAGCATGAAATATCTCTCTCATTCCCTAATTAAACGGATAAACTATTAATTATACAATGTGCATATATATATGAGTGAAGATAAAAAAAAAAAAAGTTTTCTCAAAAATGAAAAGTGCATAAAGCGCTTCCTTTTTTGAGCTTATAATTAAATACTAAAAGCACACGACTTAAGTGTGATGAAAATTGTGGAAAAAGATTAAATTCATAAAAAAAAAATAAAACAGCATGTCAGGATTTTGGTCCATTTATTAAAATATTATTTCAATTATCATAAAAGGCAAGAGATTCATGGATTCCTTTACAATCGTTTTGGATAAAAATATAGAAAGCAAGGTTTTATTCATTGCTTATCAATCATCTTAATTATCGTAAATTAGGATTTTGTCCATTTATAGTTATGCGTTTTTTCACGGAATATTTTTGCAGTAAATTTGAGTTTGAAGTGGCTACGAAACTTGTTTAGTTAAATACGACTAAATTTGGTTAGATTTTTTGACATTATTAGTGTCTCTATGAGCAACTCTTACATGGAATATAATTGTATTGGAAGTCCATCCGGTAAATCACGTGGACGGGACTTCATTTTAGTGCAAATCTTGGTATCCTAAGTAAATGAGCGAAGAAGAAAAACTTTACCTATAGACATTGTTTTTGTTTTTACATTATTATTTCAATAAGAACTTTAAACTCCAACCGGTCGAACAAAACCCGTTTGAATGCAGTGGATATTGCACAACTAGAGCGATGAAAAATGCGTCGAGATACTAAAGCAGAGCAAAAGAGCGGTGTCGGGTCAGGGCGCGGTCGGAAAAGTTATTATAATAGATGTAGTAGTGGGGAATCATACGGACGATCATAGAGCCACCGAAACGCGACTCTTCTGGGACGTGTTGATGATGATGACCTTCAATGCGAAAGAAAGGGGGTGAAAAGGAATGGGAAAAGCTGTTTGTCGATGCTGGCTTCAGCAGTTATAAGATTAATCTCTCACTTGGGCCTTCGATCCCTCATTGAGGTTTATCCTTGATTATCTTTCTGCTCATTTGATCTGCTCAGTCAATCCTTGTTAGACTTTTGCTATTGAACACGATATTTGATATGTACTTTCCTTGCTTAGATCGTATTGGATGTGATAACTTATATAGGCCCCTGGACCTTATATTGATGTAATTCTTCCGTCTATGTACTTTAATTATTGAATAATCAAATAATACTTCCAAATTCGATCCCGTCATCTCTTCGTCAATTGTACTGTTATTTCATTCGTAGAATCATGCCTAACTGAAAACGAATAATTTTTATGGTCGGCCTTTTTCAATGTTTTTGAATTTTCTCATCTTATTAGGGGTTGTAATAACAATATGTGGTCCAGCGTCTTATTAGGATTATGCTTCAATATTAATTCATTTAGCGATAGCCCGACCTCTATATGTTGAGGTAATTCGAGGGAGGATTTGACTTGCACGTGGAACAAATCACGAGATGTAATACCACTCGCGATAATTTACGATTGCAATCAAAAGAAAGGGTGAAGTAGGGGTGGCAACATGGGTTTGGAATCCATTTTTTAATTCAGTTCTGGCAGGTCAAGTTGAACATGGGTTGCTTAAAATTTTTTGAACAGGTAAAAAAGAGTTCAAAACATTAAAGCATAATTTTATACGAGTATTTGTGGATTTGCACGAGAGTTATATTCAACCTATTTAGATTTCGAGGTGAAGCCCAAATGTAACTATGAAATCCAACTCCAACAAAGCCTGCAAAGCTTTGGGCTAGGGGCGCGACTCACCACCATTGCTCGTCCGATCGCCATAGTCCCTCGTCGCTCGCGCACCAGCGGCGCCCCCCATTGTTAGTCGCTCGCACACCGTCGTCGTTCTTCGCTGCCGTCGCTCGTCTCTACCATTTCTTGTCAATTGAGCACCACAGCCACTACCATTGCTTGTCAATTGAGCACCACAGCCATCCATTGTTCTCAGTTTTGATGCCGGCGTCATCGTGATTCAGCGAGTCTATACCGTGTAAGCAAGGACCGGCGGGTGCTAGCTCTCTGGCTCCACATGATGGCGGCGTGCAGCTGGGCGGCGGCGGCCGCCATGGCATTGCTCCGGGAGCTACTGCTAGCGGTGGCGGAGGGGCGAAATGGGGATGAGGGCGATGAGGTGGAATTGGTGGTGTACTCAGAGGTTTGTGGCGATAAGTTTGGGATCGGCTTTTATTTTTGGGTCTTTTCCTTGGTCCGTTTTGGCCCAGTTGATATATCTAAATAAATTTTAGTAAATCTTTTCAATTGGATAGAAAATTTTAGACGTATATTTTAAGTCGTATAACATACGCAAAATCAAAGAAACTTACAATTGTTGCACAAAAAAAGAAAAAAACTAACTTACAACGCTGAAACTTCTTTCTTTTTCTAATTTTTTCTTTTGTTTTGATTTAATTTGCCAATCTCTCAGATTTCCTTTGTAAATTGTTTTTCGGCCTATTTTTTCTTGTTGGTATTTGGTCCGTTTCCCTTTTTTTTTTTTTTTAGTTACAAATATTGATGAGCCTGAGTATTTTTAGATTTTTAAGTATTTTCAAATCTTTAAGTGCTTACATATCTTTCTAGGCATAGTCTTTTCTGCAAGTATTAAGAAAAATAATATAAAAATTCGTAACCGGATCTATAACCCAACCTTCCAACCAATCGACACAAGTGTTCTTATTCATCAGCGCGGCGCTCACCCACGTCTTCACATTGCTCATGTGCCACACGAAATCCTAGTTAACAACCCGACCGAGCACTCAAGCTCTCTCACCAGCTGGGATCTATGGAGTTACTCGTTCCGTAGAAGTAACAATTTAAAGAGAGAAATTGCTAAGAATTGGAACAGATATGGGCCGTTAAATTTGCATTGCATATAAAATGATCAAAACAGGTTAAATATGTAAATTTGGTTCGATCCATTTTCGACCGAAACCGACCCAACTGTTAGATCGGCCTACGTAGAAGTCCATGCCAAATTGCCAATTGCCAACTAGTGAAGTTGGGTGCTTACAGACCCGAAAAAAAAAAAAGTTAGGTGCTTCATTAAGCAATCTACCCCATCCTGTGCCGTGTGCTGTGTGCAACGCGTTAGGTGGGCCTTGCATGTGAATGAATGCCGCCTGTCATATCCCATGTGAGGGTTTTCCACGAAACCAAAAGCTCCCGGCAGGTCGCAGACGATCGGTCAAAGCTCCGAGAAACAGAGAGAAGACAGAGGTACCCAAGAAGACAAAATATCTATGTATGGAGTCGAAACTATCTTTTCGTATTGCTTCCATCGCCAGCGAATTTCCATATGCTTTGCATCAAACTTCTGGGTACACAAAAACGGGGGGGGGGGGGGGAAAAAAGAGAGAGCTTCTTTTGCATTTTTCCCAGTCGATTTAGACCTATATATTCAATCAGAAAGAGAACCCGCAAAAGCCCAAGAAGGAAAGGGAAAAGTGAAAGAAAAACAGGGTATTGATTAGCGCATTGATCTATCATAGCCACAAGGCCCCGGCCTGTCTCAAAATGGGCACCAGCTCGCCGGAGATATGAGTGGCCATGACCCGATCCAGCCCCCCGAACAGCCTCCCCCCGATGAAGACCGCCGGGAACTGGACCTCCCCCCCGCCGCCCCCGCCGATCCTCTCCAGCTCGTCGGCCACCCCCTTCTCGTCCTCCTCGTCCACCTCGTAGACCGCGGGGTTCACCCCGAGGCCCAGCAGCAGCCGCTTCACCACGTGGCCCATGCAGCACCCGCGCCTCCCGACCACTATGAGCGCGTTCTCCGACACCACCTCCCGCACGCCGCCTGGCCTCCTCCTCATCGCCGCCCCCGCTCCCGCTCCCCCTCCTCCTCCCCCCCCGTGCTGGTTGAGCACGCCGCCGCCGCCGTCGGTCGTGGTGGCGGCCTGATTCGCCCTGTCGCCGAGCAGCGGAGGCCCGGCCTTGAGGGATCCGCCGGCGTGGATCGGCGGCCAGGGCTTGTACGAGATCGCCTCTTGCATGGTGGTGTCTCTGTGTTTTACTTTCGTCGGTGGGTTGTGGTGGTGAAATGGTGTAAGGTGGGAGGTGAAGGAGGAAGGTATAAATAGTGCGGTGGCGAGAGGTGGGGTGGGAGGAGGAGGAGGAGGAGGAGGAGGAGGGAGATGACTTCGAAAGTCGCACGTCAACGGTGGTTGGGCCCGGTTTCATATTTCGCATGTGTGCGCGTGTGGGGTCGCCGTGGCTTACGCCCGGCCGACGTCATTGTCTCTTTTGGCCTCTTCCGCGAACGTGGTAACGCGAGAGGATCGATACATCGTACGCGTAATAAATTAAGTGTATTTACATAGACTTAAATCAAATTATGATGTGCTCAATTCCCTAATCAGATGTATCCGACCCGATTCAGATTTCTAAATACCCATTATTGAAGGGGTTAATACCGCACCCAAATTCATTTTTTGATCACTAAACATCCAAAATTGATAAATCTGTGATAAATTTACCACCACCCAAAATCTCAAACTAGTACATTAATGATAAATTTTTCGCTCGTTAGTTTTCGTTAAATTGTAATAATATCACGAAAACTACAAATTGGTACGTCGGTGATAAATGGAGGGTAAATCCATAAATCGATATATCCGTGAACTGCCACGCGTGATCCAACTCAGCAATATAACAGTAAAATTTAAAAGAAATTAACAAAGAGTAAATTTGTCACAAGTGTACCAATTTGAGATTTTAATTTAGAGATAAATTTATCACAAATATAACAATTTAGGATTTTTCTTGGCATTAACTCATAATTAACAAGTCAATTAAGATCCAATGGCCCCCAATTTTGCTTCAATTATAAGGGAAAACAATTACGTCCATGTCTTGACGAAGGTGGGGGTGACGTGGGGCTCTGATTTTTATTCAGGTACAACTGACACGACGCGGGGGGTGGTGGATGACGTACATCATGACGTGGAATTCCTACACCTGGGTGGGGGCCCATGCCGAGTTGGCGACACTGCTGGCGTCACCGCTTATGGCATCTGACGATATATAAAATAAATATCATGTTTGATTATTCCACAAAAGACAGAGTTAGATGGAGGCTTTGACAATATTAGAGTATAATGCCCGAGAGTTCCATGCACTACTTCTTTTATAATCGTAATCTGCGCTTATGCAAGACAATCTCCATTAACTTATGATTCACATGTTCCGCGATCTGGTGAACCGTTTTTGATGTCTGGATGGATGATTTGATGTCGGTATTATCGTGCACTTGTGATATTAATAAAGCTAGCATTGCTTGACCAACAATAGCACATCTCCTCCTTTTTATCTTCGAGTGCACATGCCATGTGTCCATATCGAAGGACGGCAAAATCACACAAAACTTTCCCAAACTATAAGCGTTGTATGCTGACTTTTAAAGGGTGAAAGTGCTCCGACCAAAAAAAAAGGGCGAAAGTGCATTTTCATTTCTTTGTTTTAAGAATTTTTCTGTTTTATCCTTAATTTCCATTAAAAATGAAAAAAAAGAAATTGGAGAAAAATGAATATACTAAAAGTATTTAAAAGAGGAAAATAAATATCAATAGAAACATTAAATGAGTAAATATTATTAGAATTTGACAAAGATATTAATAGAGAGCCTAATGAAAAACACAAATAAGTAAAATGGAAAAAGCCTCAATAAAAAAAAAGTCAAATTGCAATATTTGGATACTCATTGAGTACTTTTAGATTGTTAATTAATGCAAAAAAAAAAATTGATTGATTCATAAGAAAATCATAAAATATCACCTTGGATTTTGATTGATCATTTTCTTCTATGACTTTTTTTAGATATTTTTATCAATCAATCATTTCTCTACACCACTTTATCATTAAATATATACATAGTGGATGATCAATGTTTTTTTTATTTGACTTTTTGGTTGTGGAGGCACTTTCCCTTTTTATTTATCCTGTGTTCATTCTTATTCTTAAAATATCTTTCTTAATTCTATTAAAGTTGATATAGTATCAAATTTCAACATAGCAATTAAGGGTAAACGATTAAATTCCCTTAAAAAAATTGAGATGAAAATGCATTTTTACCACTTAAAACTCGAGTGAGAGAAAAAATCACGAAACCGGCCGGGTTACGAGGTATTGCGTAGCAGTTTAAAATTCGAGCGCAAATATATATTTTTCTCGAAATATTATGAGTGGTTCACGGGTTCGGTACACTTTTCGAAAAGAGAAAAAAAAAAGCGAATATCTCTTTTCGAAAGTTAAATACTGAAATTACTATCGGGTGAGGTGCAGATTTGATGAATTTCACCTTTTGACCCAACCTCGATTTGGATTGTTCACCAATTGAGAAAAAAAGAGGAGGGAAGCTTTAAAGCCGGCCTTGCGATGCAACGGATAAGCATCAAAACATCGCACGTCACGCATTGGAATGATCACACTCGTCGTTGGTTCATGTCGATGCCACGTGTGCAGCTTGAAATTTTTTTTAAAAAAAATAAGAAAAAATATATATATCTATAGAAAAGGGCAAATCAGGCTAACCAAAAGCAAGCGGCCGCCCCCGGACGGTCCGGGCAAGCTGACGTCACGCGGCCCAAGCGGGTGGTGGGGGCTGGGCTCCACTTGACTCGGGGGAACAACTCCTCGAGCCTCACCCACCCTCGGCGTCATCATCTCTGGTTATGACGCCAGCGCGCGCGTTTGGCGCGGGTGGGGGTCCGGGTCGGGGTCGGGTGGGGGGGCCGCACCCACGTGGCAAACAGGACAGCTGTCGACGTCACCTGCCGGATCGAGCAGTGTGCCCCCACACGTCATGCCGTGCCATGCCATTATCCCCTCCTCCTTCCCCCACGTACGAAGCTACGCGGAGCTTTCGAGGGGGACGGTGGCGTCACGGCGGCGTCAAGCGCGCGGGGGGGGACCCACTTCCGTCGCCCCACGTTTTCTCCGGGCCGGAGGACCCGGGGCCGATTCGGTGCGCGGCGGGCCACGCCAGTTCGGTGGACCCGCGTTGAACCCTGAGATATTTAGTTGCGCACGCGCTATTATTCTCCAATGTGCGTCGTTTCTCAAGATGTGGCATCTCTCGCGTATTAAATTATTGCACCAACCGACCAAAAAAAAAAAAATTTTATTGCACCGGGATCCGTCGGAATTCGGTTTGTTTCGCTAAAAATGAACGGTAACTTGCTACGGTAGTACTACAGTAAGGAACAATAACTGTTGCAGTACCCTGTTACAGTACATCGCTACGGGACATTAGTCTAGTATTCTTCTAGAAGAATTTTGGTGTCAATAGGCATGCAGCTTTGCTGATAAAAAGATTGGGGGATGGAGACACTAGTATCTTGGGTATAGGGTTTGACTCCAGTGCTCTATAAGAGACAGAGCAAAAGTCGGAGAGTGAAGAGAGGTAGACATAGGATATATAAAAAAAAGGAGTATTTTCTTAAATGAATGAATGAACGAGAAATGCTTTTTTTCGTTCACAAAAATGTCTAGACATAAATTATTATCGGTAATAAAAATATTTTTATTGTCTTATTAGTTGAAGATATGAGCGATCATTTTTAAGGACCTACACTAAACCGTATCATCAACAACTTGATCCCGCTGGAACCTCATCAAAGGCTCCAACTAACTCGAGCGAGGCATCGCCACTGCCGGTCGATTGTCGCCGTGAACCCATCGAAGCCACCGCAGGCCACTACGAATAGCTGACCAAAAAATTACGTTACCGTGTACGTAAATAAATGTTTCCAAGTTCCTTTTCTTTTCCTTTTTTTTTTATTGAAAGAGCGAAATCGTTGGAACAACCCTGGGGGCAGAGATTACGTCCTGGAAACAAGTCTTCCGATGTCGGTGCCAAACCGGTTTGGGTGGGAAAACAAGTTGGCTTTGGACCATTCGATGTGGATGGACTCGACGCTCACGTCTCCTTAAGCAACCCGTTTTAAACCAAAAACACCAACGCGAAATTCGAATGAAAAGGTTGGGCACTGACGTGATCAAGTACGTGGGGGATGTTGTTTTCGAATATCTGTCGACCTTAGTCCTAAAAAAGGATCTTACATTGCGGGCGTGGATGCAGTGCACCCAAAACCTTTAATGAAACTGAAAGATGGCGTTCTGACACGTCAAAGCGTGAGGCACGTGCAAAGTGATATCGGACCCGACGAAACGATAAGCTCAACGTGACGCAAGGATAAGGTTGAAGAACGTGAGCAATTGACCCGACGCTCTGTTAGGACATTATTCCACTGGACCCAATGCTGGCGTCGGTGGCCAATGCTGCCCCTCGGATGCTGTCCAAGTGATTTGGCCGGTTGTTGTTATTGATTGCCTTTCGGGTAGCCCGGAAGGCCAATTTCTTCCGGACACGTTCTCGGATGATTGGCCGGGCTTTTACCAACCATATGGTTGTTAGCGTTACCGTCATCTCATCATCCACAAGTCGAAAGATTGATTTGCGCGACGTATTGGTTTGCATCAATCACAAGCAAGGGATGTCGTGGCGTCTCGTGTTTGGATTCTCTCGGTATTTCGTGTTTCGCCTTGTGTGAGCGGTGCTCTTATCTCTGTGAACGAGCCGCATCGAATGTTGCTAGCTAGCAACAGGTGCATCATGAAAGTAAGATCGCAGGACCGAACGTTTGAAGTGATTGCAGATGTAAATCGAGTCCTATACTGCTCGATTTCTTCTCACGCTCGAGTTCGTTCACGCTTCGTTGTTACAGGTTGATAGATCCGTGAGAGAATCCGAATGTGAAACGGGAGAGAAAAGGTAAGAAGGAGAGACCTCCTCTTCGTAGAAAGCAAAAGGACGACAGGACAGGACGGGAACATACAAAAGATTTTCTAGAAGCGCATCATGCTGGTGGCCATCGATTTGTCGGGAGACCATCTTGGCGCCGACCAAAGAAATGTCATACAAGTGACGCTGGCTCCGAAGGAATGGTGACGCACAAATTTGGACTTCTTTTCCGGGCGGCTAAAACCCTTGTGAAAACAAGGCTGGATCTTGAGCCATTGGAGAGACACGGGGGAGGCAGGAACTGAGGATGTATGTACCTACAAGAACCACGCATTGCTAAAGGAAGCAACATCTCCTGTGTATGCAGGGGAAAAGATGAGTGCATCGGTAGAAAGAGCTGTAGA